CCGATGTGGGACTCGATCCTGGGACTCCAGGATCATGACCTGAGCCGAAGGCAGTCGCTTAACCAACTGAGCCACCCAGGTGCCCCTAAATAAATAAAATCTTAAAAAAAGTGGTATATAGCAAAGCACTAAGGTATTTTCACTTGATACTTGTATTATCAAAATATGAATACCTTAATCTTAAAAAAGAAAAATCAGTTGTACATGCATTTCTGAGTTCCACAACAAAAATGATACTATAATAGCTAACACGTGTTGACCATATGTGCAACATGCTATTCAAATGCCTTGCATGAATAACTCATTTAATCCTCATAACTTTATAAATGCAAGTACTGTTAATATTTCCATTTTATAAATGAGAAAACTAAAAATGAGGTTCAGTGTCCAAGGTCACACACCTGGTAAATGTATATTCCTAGTAAATATACATATATATTTACTGATGTCTACCTGTAAAGAATATAATTACTTTGGTAATTTTTGGTTGTAGAATTACCTACAGTGTACATTCTAAAACCTACATTTGCCAGGATTCTTAAAATCAGTCCATTAGTGTTTATTGTCTGTAACTGTTGTGTACACAAAAATTGTTGCTGTCAAACTAGAGGCATCCTCACACAGATACATAAAACAATAAATACAGCAATCTTGGGATGTTTCTCATAGATCATTTCTCTTTAGTAGATGGAACACATCAAGAACTTGATGAAATCAGCCTACTTACTGCTATCACAGTATTTATTTTGTCTACCAGTCCAGAAGTTACTACCATTCCATGCCTTCAGAAGCGCTGTATTGAGAAATTTAAGGCTACTCTTGAGATAAAAGATCCTGTGGTAAGTGTCTTTAGTAGAGAGATGTTTGTAATAGGAATATGTTTAGGCTTTTCTAGAATTTTTCTTTGTGATTTTATTGGCTCCAACAAGAAGTACCAGACCAAATTTTTTATTTTTAGGTTTGGAGCAGTTTCTATTCTTAGGGTGACAAAGCCAAATAATAATGGTCTTACTCTTTGGCCCCAAGGGTAGAGCATAGTCGGAGGAAGATAAAGGAAATGTTTAAGAAACAAAAAACAAACCTTAATTTGAAATAGGGACATTTTTAAAATTGATATATCTCTAGAACTTACAAGGACATTAAGATACTTTGTTTTTTGGTTTTTTTTGTTTTTTTTAAGATTTTATTTATTTATTTGAGAGAGAGAGAAAGAGATAGCACGAGAGGGAAGAGGGTCAGAGGGAGAAGCAGACTCCCTGCTGAGCAGGGAGCCCGACATGGGACTTGATCCCGGGACTCCAGGATCATGACCTGAGCCGAAGGCAGTCGCTTAACCAACTGAGCCACCCAGGCGCCCTGTTTTTGTTTTTTTAAAGATTTTATTCACCTATTTTAGAGGGAGCCTGCATGCAAGCGGGGGAGGGAGAGGGAGAAGCAGACTCCGCATTGAGCGTGGAGCCTGATGTGGGGCTCAGTCTTATGACCCTGAGATCGTGATCTGAGCCAAAATCAAGACTTGGACACTCAACTGACTGAACCACCCAGGTGCTCCTTAATAAGATACTTTGTAGCTTATTTATAGTGGATTTCCTAAAAAAGGAAGACTTCACATGCCTTCAAGAATATGGTATGAAATAATGGGACCCATCCCAAAAACAGTACATACAAGTTAATCTCATTCCTTTATGACCCCTTCATTTGGTAAATTTACATCCTGTTCCTTATGCACTGCAGAATGAGTTGGTCTGAAAGACTTCATTAACAATTAGATTTGGGGGAAATCTGTCAATAATATCAAAAGGTTTTAAAACATTTCATCAAATAGTAGTAGGACTATAAATAGGTCACTGTGAAAAATACTTAGTTATCCATTTAACCAGACGGACAGTTAAAGATAGATAAATAGTTTAAAAAACCGACAAAACTTAGTTCTTTTAATAGAGAACATTTAGTTTTCCTTAGCTTAGTAATCAAAGACTTGATAAAGACAGCATGAAACATGGGAAATTATTTTGATAAAATGCAGAATCTTTATTTTCTAGGTAGATTATTTTAATAAGGTAAAGAAAAACCTTTTATAATCTTTTATCAGGAGCAGACCAATAATCCAAGAAAACTTTGTCCATTTAACAGAGAGAAAACCAAATTCTAATTTTGTACCAGTGTATTTATGATATTAAAGCTCATTTTCTTTTTTTATTTAAATGAATTTATGCTAATCTTAGCTTGACCATGAATAAAATTCCTTTCCCAAAATTCCTTTCCACAAACCTTCTACAACTTTCTTTTGTACTTTCGGATCTTGTCCTCTGTTTTTCCCCTTTCCCATCCTGAAATAACCAGCCTCACTTTAGGACAAAATTAATTTCTTTTCCCGTAACAAAATTGCATCAGCATCCCTCATTCTTTCTCTTACTGAAAACACACATTCTACTTTGCTAGGATACAGAGATGATTCTGTTATCGATCGATGGATCACAGCCGCTAACTCAGGAAACAAGTGGTTAAGCCCTGGCACGCTGCTGAGGTCAACTGCTCCATCCCTAGGAATCCCAAGGGGGCTGGACAAATCAAATGCATAGCTCCTGGCTGGGTTTGCCAACACTGTCACCAAACAAACTCAGATAAACTAATTGCAGGAGAAGCCAATCACTCAAGAGACAAGGGTTTGGAAAAGAGAACTGGAGAGCTTTATTTGAGGGGCCAGCAGCCAGGGGAGGTGGCTCAAGCCTTAACAGCTGATCTCTCTGCCAGCAAATGCATACCTAGAGTTTGATAGGGAAAGGTTCGGGGGATTCATGCAAGAGCAGGCAGCACTGATCATGGGAAGGGGTCAGTATGTGTTCAGCAAATGATCATGGGCAGGGAAGGGTATGGGATGTGGTCTTCTAGACATTCCGTTGCTATCAGGGCTTTTCTGGCCTGGTAGTTGGAATGTTCAGGTCATTGCAAAATGTCTTCCATCAATGCCTCAAGAAAGTATGATAAGAAAGAACAACAGTGGTTTTCAGATAGGGCATGAGTTAAGCAGTCTTGTCTGTTTCTGGTCTTAACTGTTGGGGCCTATAGTTGAGCTAGAGGGTCTGCTGACAGGTACTTCTAGTAGTTTAATTACATACATGAAAATGTTTAACCCTTAGAAACCTTAATTTCTTTTTTTTAAGATTTATTTACTTTTAAGATTTTATTTATTTGAGAGGCAGAGCATGAACGGGGGCTGGGGGCAGAAGGCAAGGGACAAGCAGACTCCCCGCTGAGCAGGGAGCCCCACACAGGGCTCAGTCCCAGGACCCTGGGATCACAACCTGAGCCAAAGGCAGACACTTAACCAACTGAGCCACCCAGCCACCCCTTATTTATTTATTTTAGAGAGAGAGAGTGTGCGGTGGGGGGAGGGGGGCAGACAGAGAAAGAGTCTCATGCAGACTGTGCACCAAGCGTGGAGTCTCACCCAGGACTCAATCCCATGACCCTGAGATCATGAACTGAGCCAAAACCAAGAATCAGACCTTCAACCGACTGTACCACCCAGGCGCCCCAGAAACCTTAATTTCTAATGGAAAACTGTGAACTGTTAAACCAACATTCTTGAGATTGACAAATTTATGAATACATTTTGTAATTTCTAAAAATATATTCTTCCTCAGTATATTTTTTGGTAGGGAACCAAACATGTTTACTAACAGACCCAGCTATCTTAAGTTTCTTGGTAGTAAACCAAAAATAGATAAACCTATGTTCAGTAATTAATGTTTCAGTTTTTATTTTTTATTTTATTTGGCAATGATCCAGATATTCAATGAATATCCATCTTTCAACTTATCTCAGTATAATTTTAAGGTTTCAAGTTACCAAAAAGATTTTTGGAAACTATTTTTAAGTAAACATACAGATGCAGGCAGACCAGGTCTGAAGACCCACCAAAAGGTCCTTGGCTTTTCGCAGGATGAAAATCAAACGCAAGCCAAAAGGAAAAGTGAGCAGAATTATTGAAGATGTAGAGCAGATACACAGAGCATCTGGGAGACTCAGAAAAGAAAAGGAGGGGCACCTGAGTGGCTCAGTCATTTGGGCGTCTGCCTTTGGCTCAGGTCTGCTTCTCCCTCTGCCCCTCCCCCCCACTCGTGCTCTCTCTCGCTCTCTCTGTCTGAAATACATAAATAAAATCTTTTAAAAAAAAAAGAAAGAAAGGAAAAGGAACATGAGTCTCATCCTTGTTAGGGGATCAGTTTTATTGAGGATGGTGGTTTGTTGTATGTGTCCTCTGACACATCCAGGGACTGGTCAAACAAGGATTGAGTGCTCGGGTATCTTCCATAAGTTACTTATGCCCTCAAGTCAGGGTTCTTGGCATCAAAGTGTTTAGAATCAATGGTCTTGGAGAACATTCATGACATTTGTGATGGCCCTGCCTGGTCACTCCTTCGATGTTCTCAAGTAAAGAGCTTTCATTTTAAAGTTTGAGCCATGAGATAGGTATGATGATGAAACCTCATTAGCTGATTAAAGAGCAGTTGGATCCAGGGCGCCTGGGTGGCTCAGTTGGTTAAGCGGCTGCCTTCAGCTCAGGTCATGATCCCAGGGTCCTAGGATTGAGTCCCGCATTGGGCTCCCTGCTCAGCAGAGAGCCTGCTTCTCCCTCTCCCTCTGCCTGCCTCTCTGCCTACTTGTGCTATCTCTGTCAAATAAATAAATAAAATCTTAAAAAAAAAAGAGCAGTTGGATCCAGATTGTGTTTCTAAAGTTTTTATTTAAATTCCAGTTAACATAGAGTGTTCTATTAGCTTCAGGTGTACAATATAGTGACTCAACAATTCTATACATTACTCAGTGCTCATGACAAGTGTTTTTGTTTTTTTTTTAAGAGTTTATTTATTTAGGTGCACCTGGGTGGCTCAATTGGTTAAGCAACTGCCTTTGACTCAGGTCATGATCCTAGAGTCTCAGGATCGAGTCCCACATCAGGCTCCCTCCTCAGTGGGAAGTCTGCCTCTCCTGACCTTACCTCCTCTCATGCACTCCATCTCTCACTCTCTCTCTCTAATAAATAAATAAAATCTTAAAAAAAGAGATCTTATTTATTTGAGAGAGAGAGTGAGAGCAGGAGCAGGGGGCAGACAGAGGGAGAGGGAGAAGCAGACTCCCCACCGAGCAGGGAGCCTGATGCAGGGCTCAATCCCAGGACCCTGGGATCATGACCTGAGCCGAAGGCAGATGCTTAACTGACTGAGCCACCCAGGCGCCCAGCAAGTGTATTCTTTAATCCCTTTCATCTATTTCACCCATCCTCCCATCCACCTCCCCTCTGTTAACTATTGGTTTGTTCTTTATAGTTAAGTCTGTTTCTTGGTTTGCCTCCCTGTTTCTTTTTTTCCCCTTTGTTTGTTTTGTTTCTAAATTCCACATATGAATAAAATCATATGGTACTGTCTTTAACTTATTTCACTCAGCATAATACTCTCTAGCTCTACCCATGTCATGTCAAATGGCAAGATTTCATTCTTTTTTATGGCTGAGTAATATTCCATTGTATAGCAGTTCGTTTTTTTCTTAAAGTAGGCTCCACTCCCAGCATGGAACCCACGGTGGGGCTTGAACTCACAACCCTGAGATAAAACCTGAGCTGAGATCGAGTCAGATGCTTAACTGGCTGAACCACCGAAGCACCCCTCCCTTTATTTTTAATTTTGATTTATTTGTCAGAGAGCACAAGCAGTGGGAGTGGCAGAGGCAGAGGGAGAAGCAGGCTCCCCAATGAGCAGGGAGCCCTATGCAGGACTTGATCCCAGGACCCTAGGATCGTGGCCTGAGCGGAAGGCAGAGGCTTAACCTGCTGAGCCACCCAGGGGCCCCTATTCCTCCCTTTAAAAAAAAAAAAAAAAAAAAGCCTCTTCTTTTTTTTTTTCTTCAGTCTTAGGAATTAGGAATAATCTAGATAACAGTTCCTAGAGAATACTTGGTAAAACATTTACATCTCAAAGGCACAGGAAAGAATGCAAGTTCCTCCAGAAAGGACTTTTGTTCCCTTTGGCCTGGATTTTTAACAATACTTACAAGCCTTTTGAGATAAAAAGGGAAGGTTTTAGGATTGGTAAAAAGGATAGGTGGATTTTGAATTGTTTCTGGAGCCTCATTTCTGTTTTTGCAAAGATCTGTAAAATAAGGATAGTTGCTAGAGGGAACACAAGCAGGGGGAGTGGGAGAGGGAGAAGCAGGCTTCCCGCGGAGCAGGGAGCCCGATGTGGGACTCAATCCCAGGACCCTGGGATCATGACCTCTGCCAAAGGCAGATGCTTAACGACTGAGCCACCCAGGCGCCCCAGGACCGTTGCTTTTAATTCCTCGAAGAATTGGTTTGCAACTGGAAAGATTTCATAGGTCCGACACACCTGTATAACTACATTATCTTCAATTTGCTTCTTTATATCTGGGAGATTGTCAACTAAGATGGAAATCAAAAAGATTACTATGTTTTCGATTTAGAGTTGTGTGTCTTGGAATATTTTAGTAGGTACAAAGTTTCATTTTAGCTTAATGAAGGAATCCTCAAAAACATTCCCATCAGGCTCTGAAAATCAGCTTCTAATTTGGCCAACTTTTGCCCATAGACTTACCTTGGTAATAGAGTTAGTTGAGTTCCCTTGAACTCAAGAGGCATCCTCAAAGAGGATGCAAAAGATGTTTTATTTTCCTCACTCTACTTGTTACTACAGACAGAGATCTGGGAGAGTGGACTCTCGTAAGGATTATCATTCTTTGCTGGCTTCTGCCAGTTTCCCCAGGATCCCATGTGCAGTCCTGAATGGGATTTATGTAGAGAGTGTAGCTCCAGTATCTACCAGAATTTGGTGATGTTTTCCATTAATTTTAATTTTAGTTTCCTTTGTCTATTTAAAGAATAATAGCAGTGTACCAGAAATTCCCTCAGAATCTTGTCAGCTCTGGGAGAGACCCTTATGAGGCCTTCTTCCAAGGTAGATATGGAGGCATTTCAATTGGTGTTGAAGGATTTGCACAAAACCTTTGAGAACAGTCTTTTTTCCAGTATCCCAGTTAATTAGAAATGAGACACCAATTTCTGGGCCAGTGTTTTGATGATGGGCCCCCAGAGGGCTGCAATGCAGGAGGTATTGTTTTAGATACCATTTGTGTCTAATTTTTTATTCCCTTTTTGCAATGAAACTTTCAATGAAGCTATTATGGAATCTTAAAGCCTTTTGGAAGCTTCTGCATAACAATTAAAATAGGTATCCCATTCTCTTTGTTTGATTTGAGAACCTTTGCCTTTAAATTCACTTCTTAAAAAAGTGACCTTGTTTAATTGGCACTTTCTCCCTAATGGCCATTGTAATTCTAGGTTGCCTTTAGTAAGATTTTGCCATTCTTGTAGGTCTTTATAGCTACAGAGACTATAGTTCATAGACATAAAATAAACAGGTGTGCCAGAAGGTGGGGTGCTCAACTTTTTGGAATTTAAGGATCCTATTTCTTTAAATATTTGGGTCTCTCAGAGCCAAACTAATCCCTAAGAGGGATGTGCTGCTGGGTTGGGGATTGCACGGTGTTTTACCATGTACTTCGTTGCATGGACATTTTCTTGAGGTTGGTAGGTAATCTGTGTCAGTCTAACCTATTCTCTGACCCATTTATCCTAGATAGGAGTCCTAGAGTCAGGTAGCAAGCACTCTAACAGCTTTTATGTACTCTACCAGTGCCCACCAATTTTGCAGCTTTCTGGCTTCCTAGATTTCTATCTCCACTAGCCTTTACTTCATGTGCACATCAACATACAAGGAGTGACCAAAGAGATGTTACTGCAGACTGGCCAGTAGAAGGCCTTATATAAAACACCAGCAAATCCCAATGTGGATGTGGGGGCTGGGGAAAGAACTGAACCAACAGACCCCAACAAATAGGGACTGTAGACTAGGATTCCAAACAAATGGAAAACTGCCGATGGAACCACCAGTCCACATCTGTGTTTCTCCTTTAACTCCCAAAGCCTTCAGAAGTTTCCTTCAGATCCCATCACTGCCACCAAATCTGTCAAGGAACAAAATTCAACTGAGTAAATTTTAAAGATCTTATTGGCTTGAAAAACAAACAGGGTTCTAGAGGGGAGGAGGGTGGGGAGATGGGTTAGCCTGGTGATGGGTATTAAAGAGGGCACATTCTGCATGGAGCACTGGGTGTTATGCACAAACAACGAATCATGGAACACTACATCAAAAACTAATGTTGGGCGCCTGGGTGGCTCAGTTGGTTAAGCGACTGCCTTCGGCTCAGGTCATGATCCTGGAGTCCCAGGATCGAGTCCCGCATTGTGCTCCCTGCTCAGCAGGGAGTCTGCTTCTCCTTCTGACCCTCTTCCCTCTCGTGCTCTCATTCTCTCTCTCTCAAATAAATAAATAAAATCTTAAAAAAAAAAAAAAAACTAATGATGTATGGTGATTAACATAACAATAAAAAATTTAAAAAAGATCTTACTGGCTTTATTCAGCAATTCATAAATTGGGCAGCATCCCATATACCAAATAGAAAAGAGCTCTGAAGAGCTGTACAAAATCAAAGATTTATAGACAGAGGAAGGACAAGGAAGTTACTAGCAAAGAGTGGATTGTTTTGGGCAAAGCTACCTTCCTTAGGGGGATAGCTGGGGTCTGTCAGGCAGATTACCTCATTAGTGCTGACCAGGTAATTCCAGATTGACTGGTTTAAGACTCCAGTCCTGGGAGAGGTTGAAACTGTAATTAAGTTAGGTATTGAGTCTTGGTTTCGTAACATGGGCTTCGCCCAGGTGACTCCATTTTGCTATGTTGTCCCTCTTTTTTTTTTCTTTTTTAAGATTTTATTTATTTGACAGAGAGAGACACAGCAAGAGAGGGAACACAAGCAGGGGGAGTGGGAGAGGGAGAAGCAGGCTCCCCACTGAGCAGGGAGCCCGACACAGGGCTCGATCCCAGGACCCTGGGCTCATGACCTGAGCCGAAGGCAGACGCTTAACGACTGAGCCACCCAGGCACCCCTGTTGTCCCTCTTTTAACACCCGTTAGCACTTGGATTTCCACAATTAAAGATAAATTAGAAATAAAATTTAAATGCCTTTTTTAGAGACTTTTCTTTAAAAAGTTTTAATTCACAATTTTTATTTCCTTTTCAAATTTATGTTACAGTCTGCATGTTAATATAAATTTATATTTACAGTTTATACTATTTTTGTTTCTTACCTAATTAGGTACAAATCAAGACCTATCAGCTCCTACTTTCCATTTTTCAGTATCCAAATCCAGCTGTCTCCTACCCATACATTTACTCTTTAGTATCCTCTATTGTGGAAAAACTACAGGAAATAGACAAGAGAAAGCCTGAAGACACTACTGAACTTCAGATCTTTCAAGAAGGCATAAAGGTCTTGGAAGCACTGGTAACCATTGCAGAAGAACAGCACCGTAAGTGTCAGCACTAAATTCATACTAAGTAAGAATCTGTCCCAAATCAGAAATTTAATGTTATTTTAAATGTAAAACATTCAGTTGGTCACTTAACATTATATTTCCACATTCACTGAAAGGCAAGTGTTGTTAATTCCAAATATTGATATTATTTAGTGTTAATTTGAGAGGAGAGATTAGAAGGATCCTTTTTCCCTTTTAGTGGGGAAAAATTTGTACAGATAAGTGAGTTTACAACTTTATATATTAAACACAACCTTCAACCCAGGACTTACATCATTTATTTACTTAACAGGTTCTCAGCTGGTGGCCTGTCTTCTGCCCATCCTCATTTCCTTCCTTTTGGATGATAATGCTCTGGGATCAGCAACTTCCATAATGAAAAATTTACATGACTTTGCTTTGCAAAATCTCATGCAGATTGGGCCTCAGTATTCATCAGTTTTTAAAAATGTAATGGCTTCTTCTCCAGCGCTGAAAGCCCGCCTTGAGGCTGCTATCAAGGGCAATCAGGAAAATGTCAAAGTCAAGATACCAGCACCTAAACATACCAAGAACCCTGGAAAGAATGCAAGCATCCAATTAAAGACCAATTTCCTCTGATTTTTTTGTTTTAATAGTAAGCACCTTAATAAAATACTTGATTATTTCCTTCTCTTTGGGGACAAAAGTGACATTTTAGACACAAGTGCACTTGGAGGTCTGGTTGATTGTCTTAAATAGCTGTGACTTTTCGAAGTAATATCAAACTTAACATTTTTTGTGGGTTTTTATTTTTTTTTTCAATTTAATAAAACCACAGAGCTCTTGCCAGGAATTTCAAGAAAGTGCTAAAGAATTAAACTTACTAAACAATCCATTGCTTTAGAAATGAAATGGATTTCTTCTGACAGTCCATACACACACGGTATACTTAATACTTTGGTAGATATAGATTTGACTTTAAATTATCTGCATTTATATTGTATCCCAATTGCTAATTTAAAATTCTGCCTTATTCAGTAATTATATTAGACTTTCTTGGACTTCTCAAACAACATAAATGATTGGAAACATATTTAGGAAACTTGGTTCAGAATTATCCAATATATAGTAGTACAAGTTAATTACAGCCCTACAGTGTGACTTAAGATCTGGTGTCTATAAATATCATGGCTTTTCACTACCTTTTGGTTTGGTTTGTATTGGGTTCACAAAATGGAAATTTTACTTATTTTAAATAGAATAGGGCATCTCCACTTCAGTTTCTCACATGGATTTTCTGTTACCCCTGCTCCTGTCAAGTTTGTTTATTTTCATTTATGAAAGACATTCATATTAATGAGTTTAATACAGATTCATATCTATATTTAGGTCAACTATGGGTTTATATAAAACAACAAATTTAGATCATCAACGAATGCAGTATGTTTTTTTATCATGAAACATATTTTAATATAGAAAAAATCTAATGATAGAGTCATATTGGTTGAAAAAATATTTTTTAACTGCTGGTAATCACTGACTCTCCTTCCACTTCAGTTGTTATATGTATTAATCAAGCACTATGTCACAACATAGCATTTCCCTGTTAAAAAATTAAAAACTGGAGTGATGGGGCATGTTCAGAATTGAGAAAACACTTTGAGTCAAGCAGGAACAATGTGATGTACTCTATTTTATTATGTTTGTATATAAATACTCTTGTAAATTGTTCAAAATGAAAACACTTGACAAAATCTAACACTACAATCAGTTTTTTTTTAATTTACATAAATAAAGCTAATTTTCTTTATCATTCTTGGTATTTGAGATTATTTTGCCCACCAAATATGGCTGGTTAGTCTCACAGATTCCAGAAAATCAATTCTATGGAGCAAATAATATCCCTTCTATGTAACTTTGCATTTTTCTCAGAGGATCCCGTTCTTTGGAGCATTCTTTGCAATGGTTTGGATTTGCTGTCTTCGTAATTGTCTCTTCCTAGTTGTCACTTCTGTTTCCTTCACCTGAATGCCCTTCTCTCTATTGTATCTGGCAGACTCTCATTCCTTTTAAGCTTGGTTTAAATGTCACTTCCCCTTGTTAACTCTCCTTAACACTTCTTGCCCTCCTCTTACATTAAGCAAATTTTTTTTTTTTTTTTAAGATTTTCTTTATTTGTGAGAGAGAGCGCGCGTGAGCACAAGCAGGGGGAGCTGCAGGCAGAGGGAAAGGCACGAGGGTCGGATCCCGACTTCAGCCAAAGGCAGACAGCTTAACTACTGAGCCCCAGGTGTCCCTACAGGTGTTCCTACACCAAAAAAAATTTAACTGCTTCCTCACCAGTGTCCCTGGAGTGCTTTACACATTCTATGCATGGAACATCACACTGCATTTCAGTATCTCCCTTTTAGACCACCTTCTCAAGGGAGGAATTTTTGTCTCATAACTGCCTTTGTGGCATCAACTAAATACTTAAATCACTGTTGAACTGCACTGATACAGGATGGATTTGAGCTCAGCAATCTCCTTTGTCAAGGCAAATGGGTGGTTCTTAGGATACAATTTACTGACTTTTGAGTTCTTTGTCTGTTTCATTTAGTTCATTCTTAAACATTAAGATGTCTACTCATCATTTAGTGATATAGTTTCCTGAATTGTTTGGGTTAGAAGTGTTACCTGAATGGCAGTAGTTAATGAAAGAATATGTCCAGTGTCACGGAATTAGGTACTTTGAGTTAGGCACTATCCTATAGTCTTTTTCTTAAATGTATCACCTTGTTTAAAACAACACTGAATTAGTAAATATATTCTTAATGATAAGGAAATTAAGGTTTAACAGCTGGTATCTGAACCTATCTTTCAGATCCAGGGTCCATGCTGGAAACAAAAACAGTACTCTGGCAGTCCTGATTACATCAAGCGTTAGCTTTTCTCCTTTTCCAGGGTTCCATATTCCCTCAGGAGCCTTCCTCACCCCTTGCCTAAGATGTTTTCAGTTGTATTTCTCCATATTGCCACCAGAAGCTTTCTGATTAATAGGGAAAGGTTTTTGTTTTTGTTTTTTCTGGTAAATTGTGTCCTCCACAGTTTGTATGGGAATAAACTATATGATTAGATATTGATGATTTAAGTTTTGATTCGTTTAAAGATGAATAATTTAGGGCGCCTGGGTGGCTCAGTTGGTTGGGCGACTGCCTTCGGCTCAGGTCATGATCCTGGAGTCCCAGGATCAAGTCCCACATCGGGTTTCCTGCTCGGCAGGGAGTCTGCTTCTCCCTCTGACCCTCTTCCCTCTCGTGCTTTCTATCTCTCATTCTCTCTCTCTCTCAAATAAATAAATAAATTTTTTAAAAAAAAAAGATGAATAATTTTAAAAATACATCAAAAATTATATCTGCCTTTATTTTAAAGAGTCCAGTTGTGATACGGCTGTTGCACTTTAACCAGCTTGGTTAGTCACTTGACTGAAACAAAATGGTGTATTTGTCTTGAGCTTTTTTTTTTTTAAAGATTTTATTTGTCAGGGAGAGAGAGCAGGTGAGCACAAGCAGGGGAACGGCAGGCAGAGGGAGAAGCAGGCTCCCTGCTGAGCAAGGAGCCCGGCGCAGGATTCGATCCCAGAGCCCTGGGATCATGACCCAAGCCGAAGGCAGACACCCAACCAACTGAGCCACTCAGGCATCCTGAGCTTTTATTTTTCTAAGGGAAGAAGTAGAGCCACGTTTACTAGTTGAGTCCCGTTCTATTTAATGCGCTGCTTAAAAACATCATGGAAAGACCTAAAAAATAATATTGGATGTAACAGATTTCTATTAATAGCATTGAAGCAAAATATTAACTTCTATAAAACAGACTTCAAAGCCAACCTTAAAGGGAACATTAAGGCACAATCTCTTTACAGTAAGTCCTGTAAAGAGTTCATAAGTGTAGGAGCACTTGATTGGCTCAGTTGGAAGAGCATGCAACTCTTGATCTTGGGGTTGTAAGTTTGAGGCCCATGTTGGGTGTAGAGTACTTAAATAAATAAACTTAAAAAAAGATAGAAGCATAGTGCTATGGGAGCCCAGAGAAGATGACCAAGGCTTCCAAGATAGACTTAATTCAAGTCCATGGAGTATCATATGATACAGGCTTAGAGAATAGTACTTACTTGGGGGAATGCAAAACCTGAACAGTTCTTTGTAACAATTTTGAAGAGAATTCCCTCTATGCCGTATCCTAAGAATTCCCTTTGTCTTTTTATTATAACTTTAGGACCAAGGTAACTGCATATCTTGCATTTTCTCCATCAGTTGAATATACTTTCCTCTTTACAAATAACTTGTTAACCCTGGGAATACCTCAATTTATCGGGAGAATTTTACCTCTATGTTTGCTAGAAATACAGTTCTCCAACTCCCTGCTGTCTGACAGTGATCATCCACCAATTAATTAATTGTGTCTGTGTTGACTTTTTCTTTTTTTTTTTTTTAAGATTTTATTTATTTGAGAGAGAGCATGAGAGCGGGGAGGGTCAGAGGGAGAACCAGACTCCCCACCAAGCAGGGAGCCCAGTGCAGGACTCAATCCCAGGACTCTAGAATCACGACCCGAGCTGAAGGCAGCCACTCAACCGACTGAACCACCCAGGTGCCTGACTTTTCTGTTTACTAGTCTGTTTAACTGGTGCCTGCCTGTGCTTTTAGCTTTGAGGAAAATGGGAAATTTTGTGTTGTTTTGATTATATCCAGTACAGAACACAAATACAATCCCAAGTTCTGTATATTCAAAGGAGCTAGCTTTCTTTAATTGCATTTCTGTTTGGGTAGGACTCCTGCTTACTCTTCTTTTTGGGGCACTATAAAATGATGATTCCACAGGCTACTTGGGGAAAATTCTTATTTTTTTTTTAAAGATTTTATTTATTTATTTGAGAGAGAGAGAATGAGAGATAGCACGAGAGGGAAGAGGGTCAGAGGGAGAAGCAGACTCCCTGCTCAGCAGGGAGCCCGATGCAGGACTCAATCCTGGGACTCCAGGATCATGACCTGAGCTGAAGGCAGTCGCTTAACCAACTGAGCCACCCAGGCGCCCTGGGGAAAATTCTTATTACTTGATAGCCATTCTTCATATACATTCACATATCATTCTTTAAATAGATAATATATTCCCAAAAACCTTAGTTTTTGAAAAATTCTAACTATATTTTTTTAAGAAAATAGGCCATTGCTGCCAATTAAAAACTAATATTGACAATGTTTTACTTAATGGGATCAAAGTTTAATCACTTTTTTCTGAAAAAATATCTAGAGGCAAGAATAACTTGATAAGTGAATATATACATACACACACATGTCAGAAGTAATGGATTGCTTTATAAAATAAAATATTCCAAGAAGGAACAAAAGTAATATTTTTTAAAGCAATTTAAAGTATGCCAGTGACACAGCAAGAGTAGGTTTTTTAGTGCTATTATTGGAGGTAGTGCAAGTGGCCTCAGAAAAAAACATGCATACACAGCCAAAACAGAGGCTCTCTACTAAACAATGAGACCTATAAACCCCAGTATTTCTGTTGGTTACTTGTTTCTGATCGTAACAAAGCTTTGGACCTTGTATTTTATAATCAAATGCTGGAGGAGTGCTCACCACTGATTGGTCTTCCCATACCTTTCCTCCCTTGTTTCAGGCAGTTACTAGAAATACATCTTCTAGGCCATTGTTTAAACACAAAAACGTCTTAAAAATAGATTTTCTAAGTTCTGGAAATGCTTTTGTTTCAGCAGTCAACAGACCTATTGTAAGTTAATATCAAATGAAAAGTGGTTAGACAATGCACTTCCTATTCTCGAGTCAGCTGTGTTCTCCAGTCAGGGTACTCTGCCATTTGCTACATTTTTCATTGTAGATGTTTTTTCTTTTCACTAGTAATGTGACCATTCTGATTTCTCAATGTTGTACCAAAAATATTGTAGAATTGTCTACAATACTAAGATGTTTCCTTAGTTGTTTGATTAATGCTCTTAACATGTACTGGGACTTCCAGAAATCACC